CCTTATTGCAGTCGGCAGACTGTAAGTCCACTGCATCTTGGAAGGGGAATAACCTTGAGGCGCGGACAGGATTCAGTTCAGTTAATTTGATAGAAATATAGGTGTGTACCTTTGAACTCCCTACTTGTGTACGTGTGTGTCTCCAAAATAGTAATTCAGCTTATTGGCGATGCCACATGACACGAGCTACTGAAGTAGAGAGATTGAAGTGGGACAAAGGAAAAAAGAGCGGAAAGTGAAAAAAAAAGACTCCTTGGGATGTTTTAGGAGAAAAAACTGTCGCTCTTCGTAGGGTCGTATGCTAGGTCGAAACGGGGAGCGGATCGTCGGGAGAGGCGGTGACGGGGATCATCGCCGAAGTGTGGGTGTTGCGACCGGATAATTTCTTGCTGATGGCAGAGTCCGCCGACAAGGTTGCAAAAACGGAAGTACCCGCCACGATTGTGCACTGCGGATCGAACTAAGGGGGAACATTTTGGGGCCGCGCAAACCCTGGTCGTAAGTTGCGGTAGATGCGATCACTGACGGGATCGTCGCAGTTTGCATAAAGAAGACCGCGCATATCTTCGCCTGAGTATAAGAACGAGAAAGCGTAAGCGATGAATTATGCATAATAAAAGAAAATAATAAAAAATAATAATATTGTAGAGCGCCAGTGGCAGCAGGCGACGTAATTATGACGACCAACGGCACCATGACTTTTACGTGGCTCTAACCAACGCCAATCGCTAACATTTATTGCCAGGCACCTTTTTTACTCCGTATAAAGGGCGGTCCTCTCACCTTAGTCCCCTTAACTCTCTGTTGTGGTGGATGGCAGTTGACTTTATTCCCAGCCTGTGTGTGCTACGGATATTTTAATAACGGAAAAGTGCCTATATCCGCGGTGCTGCTATTTCCTTGTTTTCCTAACATAATCTCGCTTTACGGACCTCTTCTGCCTTTACAGTAACAGCTGACGCTCACTTGTGCTTTTCAATGTCACATTGATAACCCGATTTCTTTCTGTTTGCTGCAGCCCTAGTGCGTTCCAGCCTTCTGTGTCAACAACAGTTTGTCGCCTCGCATGGCTTCAAAATCCTCTTCGAAGTCCTCGATCGTGTCACTGCGTCGGAGGCCTTGATACAGGAGCACACGCGTTTCCTCAACAAGGCGAACTTCTTCCTCTCCTGCATGTGTCAGGAGTTAACGGACGAACAGTTGCGTAAGTAGAAGTCTCCGTCTTTTGAGTGGAGGTCCCTATTGTGGATGATTATAGTTTGCAGGTTCATTTTAAGCGTCCGACTCCTTTCAGTCGTGCGGAGCGGTACCCCCACAGTTTCCAGAAAACGTATCGCGGTAGGTTAAGTTACTAAGTAGGACCCTTGCGGCTGCGATCTTCAGGCCTGGTTTCGTAGGGAGAAGAGAAGAAGTGAGACGCCAGATGGGAGGATTAGTATATTCTGTGCAGAGGTACTGGGACATACGTTGGAGGAAGTTGGCAGCTGGTCTAGTGCACAACCATCCGCGAGGGGGCCGGTGTCCGAAATGTGAAGGCGTGACAGTCGTCGCAGTAACGTCCAGTGTGAATCAGCTTTGAAGGTGATTGGCCAGACTGGGCGGGCACTCGTGTGTGAGACGCG